ACATAGACATATAAATATATGTAAATATATATTTTTTTTTTTTTTGAGATTTCAGGGATGTGATTTTAATTCTAAGCTTCCAATCATTTGAATCTGAAATAGCTGCAGCAATGATTTACACTCAGTAATCAAGTGACAAGTTATAAATCATGTTAAAGTCTGGAACTGCGTGCAGCTTTTCTGTTCTTCTGTCTTTCAGTTTTCTCAGCTGATCAATTATCAGAAGCGGTTGGGTGCAGATAAGTTCCCTCTCATCAATCAGACGTTCTACCCCAACTACAGGGACATGGTAAAGTTACTTTATCTTTAATAATTTCCTTAATTTTATCAAAGAAAGTTAAAAGTAAACTTCAAGCAAGCACCTAATTAACTGTAGTCCTTTAACTACTTCCTAAATTTGTCTTATTTTGGTGAAACAAATTTAAATCACAGCACAGAGGTGAGGTGCTTTTTCATTTATGCTGTTTAAACATTTCATTAAAAGCTGGGACTCTGTGAAAATAAACCATACTTTAGGTTGTGTTATAGATATGAAGTCTCCTTTCAGTGTATTTTTTATTTCTGCTTGGACTTTTATTGTGTTTAATTTTATTCACAGAAGAGAATCAACAAAGCAAACATGGCGCACTGTTCCATTTAGACATTTTATATACAACTGGATTTTTTGGTACATGGAGATAGAAAAATCTGCGACAGAAACAAAGACATAAATACAAATACAAACATTTACTTTCAGTATAAAACAATTAAATTGTTTAAAACTTCATTAGAGCCATTGATTATAATGCATTTTTATCTTGTGAACTTTGTCAAAAAAAAAAAAATCACTTCTGAAAATAAACGTCATTGCTGTTGTTGACCTGCTGTAAAACAATACAAGTTATAATGCATTTTAATTTGTAGGACCTTAAGGCAGAAGTCATTTCAGGCTGAAGTCTTTTAAAACTTGAGTCTTTATACTGAACAACACTTCAATCATTTGTTACATATCCTCCTTATTCAAGGAGTTTTAAAAAACTTGCCCTGTTCTATCATTTCCTCTAAGGAGGAAAGGCTTGTCTTCTACACGTGGCAGTGCTGTTGTTTAAACGCTAGATTAGATTTTTGGCACAAGAAACAAGACAGAGTTCAACCAAGGGCACTAAGATCACAGAAATCACAATACAACAGCCACTATGCTACAAGAAAAGAGCTGATAAGCCATGAAAATGTTAATTTTAGCAGAAATACAATATTTACAAACTCAAGATCTTTGAGATAAAACTGGGAACAATGAGATGTGCCAGAATTAGAGTAATATAGCATTTCTGTGTGACATTAGGTGGACATTAATAATAATAATAATTGTAAAACATCTGATGTTGCTTTTCTCTGGCTGTAGAGTGCAAAGGTTTTCAGAACTTAAGATGGACCACTTCTTATGTTTCACACATTTACTACATTTCTGCCCAAACTTCACTGTGCAACCTCTAAAAAAATTAAAATATCAAAAGAATTGTTGAAAGTTTTGTAATCCCAAAAATGATTAATGTAAATGCTCGAACCTTTTTAAATAAGGTTCTGTGGAAATGGTTGTATTTTTTAATATCTTACCTGTTGTAGATAGCTCATAAAATGTTGTAAGTATGGAGAAATGATGTTTAATTGTGACCTGAGTGACAAGCTAATGGCTAGTCCAAGCAGGGCTAAGACCATCGTGAACTGCTATCATCTTCAAAGAATATTTTATAAAGATTCATGTTGCTGTCAGTTTTACATCACACAGTTCTTTACATGAAAGTCCACAATTACTTCTTAACAAATGCAGCAGCAGCCTGGGGCACGTCCAGCATGAATGCCCTTATATTTCTAAAACTAGCACCAGTCTAAATGTTTTGAAAGTACTTTTTATATAAAGCACATTTGAAAAATAGAGATGTTTTAAGTTGGCAGCAAACCTCTTTGATTTTTGTCTTTGCTGGGAAAAATGTGTTTTTCATCAGTTTGGTCAGAATTAAACTGAGGCCATTTAAAGAACTACAGTGGTCCCTCGTGGTTTGTTTTTCGAGACTCGCTCTAACTCGGTTTTTCAAAGTAAGATTGGACATGACACACAATTGGCTGATTGATGGATGAGCTGCATGATCAGCGTGGATTTTTTAAATTTAAAATAAAGTATTGTAATTGATTTAGCCACTGTGTGCAGCCCACAACTGTGGGAGAAGCTTCCTCCTGCAGCTGATCAGCTGATCTCCAAGCAGAGCGGAGAAGTGGGCGTGGCCAAGAGTGCAGCCAGAGAGCTGAAATCATGACACGCTGTGCTCTTCTAGAGCATTTAGAGTTTAGAAACATTGTTTAGAATATTGCAAGAGTGTGGGAAGGGTTTAAAACGCCTTTATATATATATATATATATATATATATATATATATATATATATATATATATATATATATATACTAAAATAAACTACTACTTACTACTTGTACTATTATTCCTACTTCGCGGTTTTTCACTTAACACGTGTCTTCAGGGTACGGATCCCCTGCGATAAATGAGGGACAACTGTATCTACAATGGGTAGGATATTAGTTGTTCATAGCCTTTCCACAGAACATCATTTAAAAATATCTAAACAAAAATGCAAAAGCAGACTATGTTTTTGACTAAAAATTAACAATAAATAGCTTTTAATTGTTGTATTTTGAAAATTGCTTTAGAGTTAGTGTCTACAACTTGTGCACAGTGCTGTCAAGTATTTATGCTTTCACTTGTTTTAGCAATCATGTGTAAAATAATAAAAAATATGCATATTACACCAGGATGTGTGGGCTGGTGATTGCAAAGATGCTGGAATCCCGGTGCATGAAGCACAAACTGCAAAGGTGGTGGCAAGAAATCCTGTTTAGTATTTTTTGTACAGCAACTTAACAAGATTCTTCTACATATTTCACAAATCAAATCACCACATAACCTATTGTATCTTACACATAAACATTATTAGGGTCCTCCACATTTGTTAAAGAAATGTAGTGCAAGCATTCAGCCAGGTGTGAAGGATTTGCTGCTATTCTCGTTCTGTAACAGCAAGTGAATGTGTAAAACTGTGAAAATGAGTGAGGAAAGCTTGAAAGCCCTGCAGTCTGTGTTCTCTCCTAATGTTGAAACAAACGCCTGGACTCTACGAACAAAAAGCTTACTGTCGGATTTCCCCTTGCATTAAAAAAACTGGCCTTGATGCTTTTATTTTTCTGTTTATGTTTCAATTTATTCATCTGCTTCGTTCCAATGCTAAACGAGAGTGTGTCCGATTTACAGATCAGGGGTCGCTCATGTCTAAGAATTCTTTCTCAGGTGGAGGCCCGCCCCAGTACCAGCTGCAGCTCATGTCTGATAGGCGGATGCAGGCGTACTGCCGAGCCTGCTCCCCGTTTAGACTGTTATCCAGCAGCCAGTCCGTCCACAAGCACTCGTTCTCTCCCGTAGACGCACAGGGCACTGTGTAGCATGTGTTGATCTGACAGGAGAAGACAAATCCGTTCATTTTTTGTTTACGAGTTCAATTAATTTGTGCTCTAAATAGAAATTTAGCTCTTGATTGAATAAACACAGGTTAAAAAAAGCAATATTACAAAAATGTTTGCACCAAACTAGAACAAAAGTCACAGCGATAAAAAAGTGTAATCCCTTAACTATAAAAGGTGTTGTTTTTAATCCCATATCATGAAAACATCTTAAAGACAAAAAAAAAAAAAAGCAAGTGTAAAAAAGTTAAATGTGAATAAACAGGTGTACTCACTTTACATTCACAGCCCATCTGGTATCTGTAGTTCAGGTTCTTTCTCTGTGACAGCGACAAGTTGTCCCACGACTCCACCAGGTCGCACTGACCAATAGAAATCCTCCCATCGCTCCACATGCTTCCTGATGACACACAGCACATAACCACAGGTTTGTTTCATGTTTAGTAAAACAGATCGCTGACAATCCAAACAGGTTTATGATAATAAATTAAAATTGTAATTGTAGACATAGTTCTAGAGCTATTAGAATCTAATTGTGTAATGTATCTTTGCATGATTTGACCTTTGATGGATAAATATTGCCACATACTCGAGCATGTGAGCATACACAGCATAAAAAGGTTGTTTCCTCCTTTCTCCACAAACATCAAGTTAAATTAGCTGTTGACAAAAAGGCAATTAAGCTACTCTATTCTAGTAGTTTCCCAAAAAAATTCAATGCAAGGGAATACTGTCAAGACTCACTTTTCTGCATATTCCCTTTGCTAAAACACAGGTGTACCATTTGCAGTTCTTTTTAATGTTGAAAGTGCAATTCAAGTAATAACGGTTGCAGTACCTGAGAGCAGATAACCTGCTTTGTTGTTGGAGTCCAGTTTGACTCCACACAGCGAGGAGAAGACTGGAGTGTAGACGTACTGGATATCTTTGGCTCGGTCAAAACCTTTAAACATCTGGAGACATGCAGGGAAAGAAGTTTCTGATGTGATTTATTAAAACATCCTGATATAAATTAGATGTATAGCATGCAAAGACAGGGCAGGATGCAGTAAATCAACAAGTATATCTGATAGTTCTCAAATATTTAGCTTCCAAAGTTTTAAAATTTAAGCTAAATCGACAGGATAATATTTTGTATATTTTATGACTGATTCTAATCTTGTTAGATAGATATCCATCCATCCATCCATCCATCCATCCATCCATCCATCCATCCATCCATCCATCCAATTTGCCCACTTCATGTAGCAAGTCCATCACAGGGCCACATAAACCAACAAACAACCATTCACTCTCTCACTCACACCAAGGGACAATTTAGTTACCATTTAACCCAGCATGCATGTTTTGGTCTGTGGGAGGAAACCCGAGTACCTGGCGAAATCATGAAGAGAACATGCTAACTCCACCCAAAGAGACCCCAGGTCGGGAGGCGATCCTGAGACCCTCCTTCTAAGAGACGGCAGCTCTAACCACTGCTCCACTGTGCCTCTGATCCTGTTCAATAGTCTTTATTAAATGTATAAAGTCAAATGAAGCTGGACTTTGGCAGATTGAAAACAGCCTGTTTAAATTGTTTTTCTTGTCGTTGACATTGAAGACAGGAAATAAAAAGAGGCACCAGTTAATCTGAAATAAGGGACTCTGTATGTCAGTGATGTTGCTTTCATGAGGTCTGCAGTGCCTGTTTGCAGCATCACACACATACTGTTCACGCCTCATGGCACATAATGCACAACGAGTAAACCCTGCAGCTCACACAGTAAGAGAGGTACCAACAGCTGCTGCTGCCATTCACACAACCCACCTTGATCATTTTGATTTCGTATTGGATCATCTTCATGTACGGTGAGGAGCTGTTGCTAGGCGACACAATCTTTTCTCCAGAGATCTTTGCCCTTATCACTGTTGGGAAAAAGCGCAAACAGGAAGATGAGATAAACTGAATTAAACGGGCAAATAAACATGAGAGGTAAAATAAGAGGATGTGATATAAATGCCAGAAAGGGGTAAAACTATCCAGGATAGTTTGTTTTTGTTTTTGTTTTTTTTGCAGTGAATGCATAGATTTATAGCTACATAGACCGATTTTGTGTTTCCTGCTCTTCGTTCTTTTCTAGCTTTTTGTTTGTCACTCCTCTTCCTCCTCACACAGACAGTGTCACAGCCTCTCAGTAGTGATACAGGATGTGTCACTCTTTTTCCTCTGGGAGGAAATTCAAAACCCTCATAGAATAACAAGTAGCTCGGTTGCGCGCTCACAACTAACTCCGTGCACAAAATTACACTTTGATTACATTTTGTGCATTATAGACACATGAACACACACCACACAGTCAAAACTCTGCCAAACCAAACCTTAATATGTTCGAATTTTTATCTACCGATTTATTTTTTAGCAATTTTTTTGCTGTTTTAGCTCTTTTTCCCTTCCACCAAACACTTGTTATCTGCACTTTGGGCAGAAGGCTGTGGGTTATAAATAAAGACAAAGTGAATTTGTTATAAGCTCCTCCCACCAGCAAATAGCCAGTCCTCGATCAGTGACAGAGACACAATAATGAAGCAACTGTAATTTTCTGCCTCTTGAGTTTTTGTTGTTTTATCTGCATGCATGATAAAAAAAAATGTGAGCGTTAACATGAAGCTTTGGCAGATGCATCACAAAGATGTACCCTGGTACGCCCTGACTCATTTACATACATTATGGACTTTTACATCTGATTTAGGGATGCATAACATTATTAAAGCATGCAACTAGAAGGGTTCTTGTTAAATATTAGAATCAGTTGCAATTAAGAAAACATTTTCCTCACACCTCTTTTTCTATTTGTTTATCACGAGTCTCCGTGTTTCATCCTTTCAGATATAATCTGTGAGATTATCCAACTTGCAAATATGAGAAAATATTGGTCGGCAGAGGGAAAATGCAAGGCCTTCGGAATATATTTGCAAATGATTTATTGTAGTTTATTTCAAATAATGATTTCACACAAATTATTGTAACAAAAAAATAAAGAAATTACCCATTGCTTGCCCCTTGTCTAATCGTTAAAGAGTTAGGGTAAAAGTAGAAACAATAATGTCTTACCTTCACAGCATGTTAGATGTGACGGGAAAACATTATTTTATATAAGACGGGAAGAAAATATTCATTTTTCACAGCTTTTTACATGCTGTGACAATAAAATATATAAGTAAGCAAAAAGTAATATTTATAAATGACACAGAAGTTGCTTCGACTGGTCATTAACATGCTTTTTCATTGGACCAGTGACATATTGCATTTTATTTATACTGGGATTCTAAATAATTTGTTGTGCTTGTTGAATTTTATCGCAGCAACACAGTCTCATTTGTCACGATGACAGGTCTATTTACATTCTGTACATCTGCAGGTCTTTGTAATTACTACAATTCCTTTATATAATTTCTACAAAGCAAACAGCAGCAGATCCAGCTGAGGGTAGTTGTGTTCGTTTAGCTTTATTTTAGTTTTGCATGTGCTATTGTCGTCATTTTAAACTTAGCAGTTAATTCAAGCAAACACATGCAAATGTAATATGATTCCATGTATCTTGAGTCAATATTTCTAAACTCTTACAGAATATATGATAATGTACACATTTGTTCTGTGTAAGAGAGAGAGTTTGTAGATGCAAAAGTGTGAGCTGGATAAACTGAAGAGAAAGGCAAAGAATTAGAAGTGGGTCAAGTAAAACTGTGAAGGACAAAAAAAGTATTAGTGAGTGGGAGCGGCAGAGTGAACCTCACACACAGATTAGCAAACCACCCACTTGGTTTTTCTTTTGGGTCGTCACATAAAACTACACCAAGGTTTTTGTGTGCTGGTAGGAGGAGGAGCTCAGCCTGTTCTGTGAAATTAACTCACGAGAAACTGAGACTTTTTGTTTGTTCAGCACCACATTAGATAGAAAGGTGGACAAAAGCCAAAGACTTTAATCTGGGTGTGTTGCATTACAAAGTATAAAACAAATTATACAGGGGTGTTGTTTTTGTATAAAATGTTAAGCAGCTTGTTTGTATTTATTCTTTTAGTGCATTATTCAAACCTTAGGGATAAAATACTGTATGGCAATGCATTTTGTAGAGACCTGTCTTCATTATGTTCTACAACAGGGATATTCAACTGGCGGCCCGGGGGCTAAACCAGGCCCACGGATGAGCTCAGTTCGGCCCACCAATGGGTTTATTTTTAAATAAAACTAGAAACCATAAAACAAACGTAATGACAAAACTGCTGGATGTCCAGCCCCTGAGCTCTTGGCTTTCAGTAATTGTACCCCCCCTGAGCAATTTAGTTGAATAGCCCTGATCTACAATATTTATAAATGAAAGAAAAACCCCAATAACAGATTTTTAAAAAAATAACAGATGATATAGATCAAATAATTTGTATGTTGTTTATTTTAATGCATGATCAAACCTTGACTTTTAAACCCTCCTACAAATATTGTTTCTTTGTGTGTCTTAAAAATAATTTTTTAAAAAGCGGTATATTTCATTTCAGAATAATCTTTAAACTAGTTCACAAAATATTTTTACAGCTACAATTGTAAACTTGATGCTAAAGCAACACTAAGTTTTTTTTTTTGTGCTGGTGATAATTTACTCATCTGAAAAGTTTTTGAAAAATAATCATTCACTCAAGTTGGTGGAAAACAGAAATGGCCTGGATGATCAGTTTTGAACTCCAACACAAGCAAGATTTTGCTTTCGCCTTGAAAATTATCTGAGATAAACGAGTTTCAAAAAAATAAAAAAAATAAACAGATTTCCATTGATAATTTGTGGAATATTGACATAATTTGTACAAGTAATTGTATTTTATCTCATCTTTGTGTCCAAATCACTCCCTGAAAACCACCGAGGTGACTCTAAATGCTGAAGCAAGAGCACAGACTGGCACTACAAGTAGAAATACCATTTCTCCTGCACTGGAATATTATCTCATTTC